CTCTCGCGCTCTCTCCCTCTCTCCATCAAGTTTCGCAGCGGACCGTCTGTGCGGGTTTTGGAGGACCGGTGGTTGAGTCAGCCCTGCGGGGCTTCTTCAGCCCAGCTGCAGCGCTACTGGCAAACAGGAAACGGAGCCTCTCGCTGCTCTCTCATCAACTAGTAACAACAAATGCCTTCTTGGGATTTTTTCAAGAACGCAAATACATCTCCAAAAGAGGCAATAAAAGTCACAAGCAGAGGCATCCGAGCTGGAAACAGCGAGTGATCTGCTGCGGCTTCCCGGTTCGTCTCTTTCTGTTGGTTAAAATCCTTTAAATTGTAAAACTAGCTCTGACTTCGTTCTTTCTTCTCTCGGAGTCCCAGTCGCTCCCTGCTCCACCGCAATCTAGATGTCATTTTTGGGCATTCTCTCTCTCTCTCTCTCTGGTTTCTACCCCCCCCCACCCACCCCTGGACTCGAGGATTGGAGCGCTCCCGTGGAGTGCCGCGTTTCCATTGGTCCCGGGGACTGGCCGTCACTGGAGCGAGCCCGCCCTGTGCTGTGTTGCAGGAGGAGGAATATTTTCACGGGAAAATTGTCGGCGGCGCTCCTGCTTGAGACCGCTGCCCCCTGCAAGACCCGTCCAATGTGTGCAGCTCCAGGTATACCCCCCCCCCGAACACCGGCGGTGTCCTTCAACCCACCTGGCAGACTCATAGCGGGTTAACAGCTCTGTTGTGACCCGTGCTGTACTTATTTGTATATAATGAATCTCTACTGAGTTTGCTGATGTACAGGAACAGATGGACTTATCCTCCTCCACGTCTTCCTCGTGCATTATAACATATTTATGTTTAATAGGACTCCTCAGCATCATTTTTGATTCCATCATTTTGCACGTTTTTCTTTCATTAAGTTTTGTTTCAGCAAAACCTCCCAGCCAACATGTAATACCCTGCAGCCCATTTGCCCACAATGATACCATATTGTGTCAGTTAATTTACAAAAACATATAGTTGGGATTAAAGCGACCAGAGCTCTCCAAACTCGCCATCAATCCTCTAAATCCTGCAGCAGCGGGCCCGGAGCTCCTTTCCGCTTCTGTCATGTGTCTTTACGCGCCGACTGGCATCTCCAGTGTGATCATGTCTGTACTGCAGTCACCACAGCAGCTGCATGAGTAATCCAGAGGCACCAGAGGAACAATGGCGTATAGCACTGTATATGTATACATAATATGTCTCGGTTTGGTTAAGCTGCTGGAGAGCGGCGCGCGCTGGAGACATCTCTGGAATGCAGAGGGCTGACGTGGTTTATGCTGCTGCCTAATTGCTTTGACTGGAGCGCGCTATAATTGAGACAAATGTACAGCTTGATTAGTTTGAATTGGTCCTTCATTATAGAGCCGTTGTTAATGATGCATGCACACATTTGACATACATTGAACAGGCGCCTCTGCAGTCTGTGAAACATCAGATATTTGGTGTGAAACAGGATATTATCCAATTAATTCAAAAGCCAGACTTATGAGGCTCATGTGAAAATGCTGAGTTGAGCTTTTGAAGAAGTGGACCAGCTTCAGAGTTGATATGCAGGTTTAGTTCATGTTACACACTGGTGGGTAGCTGCATGTGGAAGATCACAGCCAGGTCATGAGAGAACTGTAACATGAACAAGTCTGACCACACACATGTTTGTGTACATTGTGTTCATCTCAGCATTTTAGTTGTTCATGAGCATAATGCTACTTTAAAGGAACCTCACACCCAATATGACCGTTTGTATATCCATCAGTCACCTCGTGTTACCTTGGATTCTTTGAAGAAACGTCTGCTCTGTTCTTCTCTCGGGCCTCACGGTGAACGGAGAACCCAAAACCGGAGAAAAGTCTTGATGAAGTAAGTGGGCCGCTTTTTAAGGCAAACACATTGTTTTTCATCCACTGGTGAATTTTAAGATTTGGGCTGATTTTAGCTTCCATAAAATGTCTTCTTTCAGACTAGTGGAAGGAAAACATCCAAAAATACACATTTGGGTGTTTATTTTACTGTTTAGTCTAAGTCTGTCGATTTCTCCTAAATTCACCAAAAGTCATTCGATGAAGCCTCATGTGCATTTTTTAATACAAAACTTGTTATACAAAAAATATATTCTCTTAAATGAAGTGGTGAAGTTTCATGGTGATATCTAGTTCATTATTTGTTTACGATATTCACCTGTAGTGTCCTCAGGATGTATTTGACAAAAGGCCGTTTTCTCTAAATGATCCATAAATCTGCACTTCAGCAGCTGGTACACCAAACGTTAGAGCTTCACTCCTCTACAGTCTGAAGGGACAGAGGGGTTTGTTCATATATCATTCAGTCAGATTTATACAACATTGTATTATTAAAAACATGGAGAAAATAGATTTCCATGGATGTTAACATTACTTTCTGATTAGTAAAAAGAGATATCCAAAACGCCCTCTGTACAAGCCTTTAACAGGTAACACAATAATACAAGAATTTTGCTCTCTACTTCCAAAATGCATGCATATTTGCTTAATCAAAGTGGTGCTTGTGAAGATTATCTTGCAAAAGCAAGGGGAACCAGTAGGTGGGCCAACAAAAGCAGCAGGACTCTAGAGGTCCCATGGACTGGTTTTTCAAAACATATTCAGATGGAGTTTATATCAGCTACAGGTGAATGAGATGAGTTTCACGGTTACCTGAGAACATTTTAAATGGCACAAATACCCAAATGGAGCCACGTTTGCGCCCTAACACACCCCTGCTTCATATTCTCAGCATCAGCATACAGGTGATGTTCAGACGTGCTGTGGTTTGCTGGAGGGTTTTGGCTGCAACTGCATCATTCCAAAGGAACTATTAAATCTAAAATGCAGTTTTGTTAGACGGAAATTAAATCTTCTATTTATGCTGCGTTCCATATTCATTTACATATAACACATACGGATGCTTCCACCGCTGCAGAAATCTCACAAATGTGACCTTTCTCATGATACAAAGATAGACCTTGTAGTGGCAGAGATGTTCTCTACATGTTGGGCCCATTTCTTTGAGCAGACATGTAACTTTAATTACAGCTGCTTTTTAATGCTGTTGGCCGGGATGGAGCTAATTTAGCTATTCACACTCATATCATATCATACCAATATATCATATTTCATAGTCCGATGATAACGTCTGTGTGCAGAATAAAAATCTGTGAGGTAGCTAGGATCTGGAGCTGTGAAATACATGTAGCGGAGTTAAACATATTCCGTGTAGGTGACAGCATCTTTAAACCCTGCAAACAGTCAGAGCAGAAAACACCATTCATCAGAATACATGAACAAACCTCATTGTTTAAAAGAAGGAATTTATTGACTCAGATCTCATCTGCGGTACAATCATTTTCATAAATCAATACTGTATATACAAAGTGCAAAGACCGATATGAAACTACAATATTTAAAAAGAGAAAACTCATGAGGAAATTTCAGAAGACAGAAGAACTCTGCAGGATCTTGACAGGACTTTTTGAAGTTATTGTTTGAAAAGAGTAAGATGGTGGTTTGTGTCTGAGTCGTGTCACTGTGAACGAGGGCCCAGCAGTGAGAAATGTGCACCACTCCAGCTACCAAAGGCCAGCTCCACATGGTGCTGGTGGAACGGGTCCAGTGCAGCTGCTCTACTCGTTCTCAAACTTGCTGTACGGGTGGTCCGAGTCACTCATCAGACCTGCACACAGGGAGAAAACACACAAGTTTGCGCTGGATCAGAGGACATGATGCTGTGTTCCTCTGCTTACACGTTCTACTTCCTCCGTGGATCTCAGCGGTAGACCACATCAGTCCAAGGACACACATTTCTTTAAGTTAAGTGGAAACTCCACCATGGATGTTTTTATAACGATACAAATCTGACGTTCAGTGCATTGCTGAAATGCTTGAATTAAGCCAATCCAATCTTTTCCTCCATCGGCCTCGTCTTTCTACTTTTTCTCCATTTCCCAAAATGACTTTTCAACAATCCCCAAAGATGTAAACGAGCATGAAAGTGGTCCTCACGTGATTTAGTATGGCACCTCAGACACATTAAGGGATTTAAAACACAACAAGACACAAATGTCAACAAAAGCAGCAAGGACCGTGGTTTCTTGACTCTTAGTTGGATTAAGCTTCATAAACACTAGATCCCAGAATGCAACTCAGTAGCTGGCTTTTCCTAAGAACTACTGCCCTCCTCTTCCATGTGCCACACCCCGTGTTTAAGGCATGCTTTCCCTGAATGTCAATGCATTACTACCCTCACGACCTCATCTCAGACTTCAATCAATATTGAGATCAACAATTAATTTCAGAGCACTGATTCTTTCTTGCTAATGTACAAATCTATGCATTCAAATAAGAACTCAAATCTAACTGTACCAAAATGAAATCAACAGCTGTGCATCATCTGGCTACTTCACACATCTTTGCATCAGAATAAGACAGAAAACAAGGTTCTTCTTCAGCCAAGTTTAGTCTGTCTGCTCTCTGAACACACAGTGCATCACAGCTCCCCAAAAGTGAAGCCAAAACATCTGGATCGCCCCCTGGTGGCTGGCTGTTAGTTTAGGAGGCGCTTGATTCAATATGCATCAGAGGTTTGGCTTTCTTTAATGTCAATACTTCTGTTCGATCATGTTCATTTAATGGTGGGAATACAAAGAAACCGCTGGATTGTGATTAATATTGCATTAATTGTGCGGACCTACATCACACAGCTGCTTACACAGACTGGACACTACTCCATGAGAAGGAAACTGATGTTGAGTTTCCATTTAACATCCTCCATAACGTACAGAAGAGGAGCGGCAGCCTGAGAAAGTACATCACTGAATACATCTGTGATTACCACAAGTAAAAACAAAGCCTTTCAAAAGTATTCACCCCCTTTGGTTGCTTTTATACACTGTGTGCACAATTATTAGGCAAGTCGTGTTTCTGAGGATTTATTTTATTGAACAACTACAGAGCTCTCGGTCAATCCAAAATGTTAATAAACCTCAAACCTGAATATTTAAGAAAGTAAGAGTGAGGTTTTGGTTTTTTTAGGAGAATATCTATGTGTGCACAATTATTATGCAACTAAATGAAAACCGAAAGGTTTCCCATCTCACTTTTCATCATTTTCATTTTCATCTGTTAAAGTGAGAATAATAAACAAACAACTCAGAATGTACAAATAAACAGTCAGTGGCCAGTAATAAGCCTTCATTCATGGATTCTGGATTCATGAATACTGACCAGCCCCTTCCTCACCGGACCTAAACCTACTGAGAACTTGCGGGCTCTTCTTCAACGGGAGATTTACGGTGAAGGAACACGTCCTCTCTGAACAGTGTGGGAAGCTGTGGTTGATCGTCAACAGAACAAGAAAGTGACAGAAGTGACATTAGTTTGTAAAAATCTGTTTTCATTTTGACATAAAAGAAGCTTTTTTTTTTCAAATTCTTGTCAAATAAGCCAAATTATATTGACCATGATTCCATGTATAAAAGCAACAAAAGGGGAAAACATCCAAGGGGGGTGAATACTTTTTATAGACATTGTATGCGATTCCTCCTCCGCGAATCGCCACCTTAACGTGGTGGAGGAGTTTGAGTGGCTCAGTGATCCTGGGAGCTATGTTGTCCGGGGCATTAGCCCCTGGTAGGGTCTCCCAAGGCAAACAGGCCTCAGGGGAGAGCCCAGACTAACAGCGGTTCAAAACGATCCCAATGAAAAGCAGCCCACGGACTTCAGTCACCTCGCCCGGACCAGGGAAACTGGGGCACCCTCCCGGAGCCAGACCCAGGAGGGGAGCTCGTTGGCGAGCATCTGGTGGCCGGGCCTTCGCCCATGGGGTCCGGTCGGGCTCAGCCCGAATAAACAGCATGGAGCAGCCACCCTGTGGACCCACCACCCGCAGGGATAAGCATCGGGGTCGGGTGCAATGCAGACCGGGCGGCGGGTCAGGCGGGAGGCCTGGGCGAGCCGATCGCCGGCAGCATAGACTAGCTCTAGGGACGTGGAACGTCACCTCGCTAGCGGGGAAAGAGCCAGAGCTGGTGCAGGAGGTGGAGCGGTACCAGCTAGATATAGTTGGACTCACCTCCACACACACTGGAACCAAGCTCCTGGAGAGGGGTTGGACTTTGTCCTTTTCCGGAGTTGCCCAGGGTGAGAGGCGCCAGGCGGGAGTGGGGATACTCACGAGCCCCCGGCTGAGTGCCGCTGTGTTGGAGTTCTCCCCGGAGAACGAGAGGGTCGCCTCCATGCGCCTACGGGTTGCGGGGAGCAAGGCCCTGACTGTAGTTTGTGCTTATGCACCAAACAGCAGTTCAGAGTATCCGTCCTTCTTGGAGTCGGTGGGAGGGGTCTTGGAAAGGGCGCCGCCTACCGACTCCATAGTTCTCCTGGGGGACTTCAACGCTCACGTGGGCAATGACGGAGAAACCTGGCGGGGGGTGATTGGGAGGAACGGCTTGCCCGATCTGAACACGAATGGTGTTTTGTTATTGGACTTCTGTGCGTGCCATGGTTTGGCCATAACGAACACCATGTTCGAACATAAGGTGGCTCATAAGTGTACCTGGTACCAGAACACCTTAGGCCAGAGATCAATGATCGACTTTGTAATCGTATCATTTGATTTGCGGCCGTATGTCTTGGACACTCAGGTGAAGAGAGGAGCAGAGCTGTCAACTGATCACCACCTGGTGGTGAGTTGGATCAGATGGCAGGGGAACCGGTTGGAAAGTCCCGGCAAGCCCAAACGTGTAGTGAGGGTGAACTGGGAACGTCTGGCGGAGGACCCTGTCCGGGAGGTCTTTAACTCCCACCTCCGGAAGAACTTCTCACACATCCCGAGGGAGGTTGGGGACATGGAATCCGAATGGACCATGTTCAAAGCCTCTATTGTGGACGCGGCCGCTAGGAGCTGTGGCCGGAAGGTCATCGGTGCCTGTCGTGGTGGCAACCCGAGAACCCGGTGGTGGACACCGGAGGTGAGGGAAGCCGTCAAGCTGAAGAAGGAGACCTTCAAGGCCTGGTTGGCCCAGGGGTCTCCCGAAGAAGCTGACAGGTACCGGCAGGCCAGAAGGGCTGCAGCTGCGGTGGTCGCGAATGCTAAAACTCGGGCATGGGAGGAGTTCAGGGAGGCCATGGAGAAGGACTTTCGGTTGGCCTCAAGGAGGTTCTGGCAAACCATCCGACAACTCAGGAAGGGAAAGCAGGGCTTACCCCAGGCTGTTCTCAGCAGGGGGGGGGGGGAAACTGCTGACCCGGACAGGGGACATCGTCGGGCGGTGGAAAGAGCACTTTGAGGAACTCCTAAACCTGACCAACATGTCCTCTGCAGAGGAGGCAACGCCTGAAGTTCTAGGGGGAGGCTCACCCATATCCCTGGCAGAGGCCGCTGAGGTAGTCAAAAAGCTCCTCGGCGGCAAGGCGCCGGGGGTGGATGAGATCCGCCCTGAGATGCTGAAAGCGCTGGACATAGTTGGGCTGTCCTGGCTGACACACCTCTTCAATGTCGCATGGGGGTCGGGATCAGTGCCCATGGACTGGCAGACCGGGGTGGTGGTTCCCATTTTCAAAAAGGGGGACCGGAGAGTGTGCCCGGAGAGTGAGTCTACTCAGCCTCCCGGGGAAGGCTTATGCCAGGGTGCTGGAAAGGAGGCTCCGACCGTTTGTCGAACCTCAGATTCAAGAGGAGCAATGCGGATTCCGTCCCGGCCGTGGAACATTGGACCAGCTCTTTACCCTCGCAAGACTACTGGAGGGGTTCTGCGAGTTTGCCCAACCAGTCTACATGTGCTTTGTGGACTTGGAGAAGGCTTTCGACCGGGTCCCTCGGGGGTTCTTGTGGGGGGTGCTGCGGGAGTATGGGGTGCCGGACCCATTACAACGGGCGATCCGGTCTCTATACGACTGCAGTAGGAGCTGTGTCCGCATTCTCGGAAATAAGTCAGACACGTTCCCGGTGGGTGTTGGCCTCCGCCAGGGCTGCCCTTCGTCTCCGGTCCTGTTCGTGACTTTCATGGACAGGATATCTAGGTGCAGCCGGGGGGTGGAGAACGTCAGGTTTGGGGGTCTCGGGATCGCCTCTCTGCTGTTTGCAGATGATGTGGTCCTGTTAGCCTCCTCGGATCGTTACCTCCAGCATTCACTGGGGCGGTTTGCAGCCGAGTGTGAAGCGGCAGGGATGAGAGTTAGCACCTCCAAATCTGAGGCCATGGTGCTCTGCCGGAAACCGGTGGATTGCTCCCTCCAGGTGGGGACGGAGTGCCTGAAAGGAGTCAGCTGAGGTGGTTCAGGCATCTAATTAGGATGCCTCCTGGACGCCTCCCACTGGAGGTTTTCCAGGCACGTCCAACTGGGAAGAGACCCCGGGGAAGACCCAGAACACGCTGGAGGGATTACATCTCCCAGCTGGCCGGGGAACGCCTCGGGATCCCCCAGAATGAGCTGGAACATGTTGCCGGTGAGAGGGAAGTCTGGGTCAGCCTGCTTGGCCTGTTGCCACCGCGACCCGACCCCGGATAAGCGGAGGAAAATGGATGGATGTATGCGATTCCTTTTTTTCCTGTGTGAAATGAAATGGAATGGAAAGTGATGAGTGCAAATATGTTTAGTATTAATGTTTCTCTTATACTCGGTTTGCTTCAGAGCAGTGGTTCTCAACTGGTCTGACCCACCATCACCCCTTAATGACAAGCCAAGACACACATCTTCAACTTCTCAAATGTATTTAATGAAAAGATGGTGCAGTTTGAACCTGAGCTGAACATGTCCTAAACGAGTCTGTGGTCTCTCTGGCAAGTTTTCTCTTTTGGAGACGGTCCAGTGATTTGACTTTCACATCTCACATATAGTAGCCCTGCTCTGCTACCTATTTCCTCGTCTCTCCCCCTTGTGTCACGGTGTGTGTACATCTCACTTGAGTCAGGAAACTTGTCAGAATGCCCATATTTGATTGGCTGAGCTGCATCACGTGATGTGATTGACAACGCATTGGTCGGTGTTTTTCCTGCACCGCTGAACAAGTACCGTAAATGCTGGAAAAGCTGTGCCGGTTAAAATAGAAGCGATCCGTCAAAATTGAATAATTCTCAATTATCTATCCGTTTTAGGTCCTGGGTCCAGATACAACGTCGCCTGGGTCCGGATCCGGACCGCGGTCTGCCAGTTAGTGACCCCTGCTGTGAAATGGCGGGTGTCAATTAGCATCACAAGGCATTAACACCAAATACTGTTAAGGAGTGTGAATAACTCCGCTGCATAAAAAATCCCCTTCAAAATAAAAGCACAGTTTTTGTTTTTTTTGAAAATGGGTCCGTGACCCACCAGTTGAGAATCACTGCCTTAGAGTATCTAACAGGAAATGAGTGATGGAGGTGGTCTGTGAACAACTCATACAAAGTTGTCTGAAACAGAAACAAGTCACTGTGGCTTTGTACTATTTGGGTTTTTACAGTCCAGCATTGGTCATTAGATGCACATTAGAAGCAAACCTGAAGACCATGAGATGTTACACTTCCTGTTGATGCTAGCCAGTTACTGGCTGTTGCATGAAGAGACAGGAGTAATCTAACATTCTGTGAAGTACACACTTCTTTCTTCCCGAGCGAGTGTTGTAGAATGTACGCAGCTCCCTGGACTGTGTTCTGCAGAAGAGACCATGGTGAGGCTGAAGGAGAGCAGGCTGTGCTCCCTGTGGAGGTAAACTGATGAAAGCAGGAGGCCTGAGGAGACCACAGCATCCATCACTCCGTCATGCTGTCCATACACTGAACCATCTCACTGCAAGGATGCTGCCAGGGGCCCCACATTTTTGCAAGATGCTAATATGCTGACTATTGCGATATCAAACATTGCAATTTATTACCTATTTTCAACTGCGAATGATGCAGTTTGTCAACATGTGTCTAATCTAATAAAACACTCGGTTAATCTCACTCTAGTCCATTCCTAACAGGCCTATTGCCAGTGGACTAACATTATTATCAACTAATCTCATCTTTCACTTTGTTTAACTCCTTTATAGAGGTGATTTACATTCAAATGATTACGAAATAAACTATTGTATTTTAATTGATAAAAAAATTCTTAGCATTATTAATTTGAATGATGTATTATAAACTGCTTAGAGCTGGTAGGAAGTTAAACAGCTCATAATTCATCTCTAATATCTATTTTATATTCATGTGAAAACATCTTCAAACCGCTGGATTCATTCAACTTTATCACCAAAAACTACATTTTACAGATTACATGTGAACACATCATACCGTTATAATTTAACATCGCCCAACTCTCATTACTGAAGAGAGTTTGAACGCATCATAATGGAACTCAATGGGACCTCCTTCAGGTCTTGGGACTAACAGCTAATGTTCACTCGCTCTTAAACAGGGCCGACCTGTGTTAAAGTGTCACACAGCCAGCAGCTCCTCACAGCTCCCAAGCGTCCCGTACATTTCCAAACAGATCAACTGAGCACATACTAAGAATCTAATTGGATGCTTTCTCACCTGACCTTTTTACATAGATTACAAAATGAGCCTGCTGACGCATGAAAAGGCAACAGGAAAAGGGACGAGGGCTGCTGGTGGGGTCGGGCGATCCTTTTTATTCTCATATCGTCCAACCGTGGTTACTGAAGGGGGCGTGGCTCATCTCTGAACCTTTAAGCTATCCGATAGCATGGTTAAAGTTTGATTCATGACTCAACCCTTGTACAGTTCAGGCTATGATACAACCCTTTGTCTGTTGCTTCAGTGACCTGTAACATCTGACTCCTGACCCCGCTGCAGGATGAATGATGCTGACACTGTTTAAGCAGACAGGAGTCTGTAGCCTACAGGTGACCTCAGCAGCCTTGCTTGAGGACAGAAGACGCATACTGCTGAATAATGCATTGCTGGCACAGAGTATAGAAATGAAAGTCAATAACAAAGTCCTAGAAAATCTGAAACCGAGTCAAAGCAGACGTAAAGGGAACAGAGGAGCAGGGAGAGTCGGTACCGAGTCTGTCCACCCATTATCAGAGAGGTTCAATGAGGATATGTGGAGAGCCATACATACCATACTTCTTGCGGATCTGATCGTGCCTCGCCTTTCTCTCCACGTTCCTGTAGAGAAACAAAAAGGTCAGAAAAAGATTGAATTTTCACACCTATAGTTTGATTTATCTAGTCAGGCCCAAGAAAACAAATATTTAACGGTTGGGTTTTAGTTCTGGTCCGTTTTGTGTTCACACTGACTTCATACGAATGAATCAAGGTGTGAATAGGAAGTCATATGGACAATTTAGTGATGTCCTCAAACATCCATGTCTGTCCGAAATGTCATCACGTCATCATGTTGTTCTGTAGACATTTGTGTGAAATCGTCATAATTAGCATACAAATTCTTGAGCCAGAAACGTGTTTTGTGAGGTCACAGTGACCTTTGACCACCAACTTCTAATCAGTTCATCCTTGAGTCCAGGTGGACGTTTGTGCTAAATCCTAGAATGGAGCGGACAGACAACCTGGACACATAATGCCTCTGGACACGCGGACAGAAAAAGCACTCCAGCACGAGCAGGTATCAGGGAAGATCAATGCATTTACTGATGAGATAACCAAATCCTCTCCTTCATAGATACGTCACAGAGAATGACACTAACTTCACAAAAATCACTAAATTGTGTGGCTGGTCTTTTCTCCTTTCACACCACCAACCACACCAGAGTCTGCTTGGAGTTAGAACATCGGCTTGAACTCAAACCTAAATGAAGCGGACCAAAGAGGTGAACACACCAAACTGAAATGAGCCAACCATGCGACATGTGAAAGCACCCATTCACACTCAAAGGTGTGTGGGGAGCACGCTGTGTTTGCTGTGTACACGGAGCTCATTGGACCTCACCGTATTCATCCAACCTGTGCACAACTTCACCATGTCAACCCAACAGAACAGGTTCAAAGGTGGACCTCACGGAACACCTGTCACCCTCCTGTCCTCAGACACAAGCCAGGCGCCACCTTCACCACATCACTGACCTCTGGTCTCTGTCACAGCTAACTGGAGATCACTTTAATGAAACTTGAGAATGTGTAAGTGTAAGATGACAGTGACTGGCACAGGAAGCGGAGCTGTGATTGCAGGTGAGAATGAGGATTTGAATAAGCGCGCACACACTGCTGGCTGCAATAAGACATTTCATGTGTGAAGCTATGCTGCAGGAACCACCACATTGGACTGTGTGTCCATTTTAAGAGGCAGGATGTTGATGAAGTGATTATATTTAGGATAGAACTGCTTTTGCTTTCAAAATATACAGAAGCAAATGTAGAGAAATGATGATTACAATTGTTGATATGATGGTTAAACATGAATATATATTGTTGATGTTACTGAGCAGGAACAACCTTTTTTCCTGTACTGCCACAGTGACCAGGGAGAGAGTTATTGATGATTCTCCAGACCGGCTCTCCATGAGGGCTCTCCGTGGGCCAGGCAGTGTCTAGAGACACTCATCTCTCCCATGATGGGACCGATCTCGTCTCAATGTCCTGTTCACTGCGTCTATGTAGGTCACTGCACTAACTCCGACCTGGGAGATTTGATCAAGCTCACTGCAGGAAACCCAGTAGAGTCCGTGGCACGTGAGAGAAGAGCTCAGGGGGAGGTTGGAAAATTCAACTCACAGGCTCACTCTCGCACGCACACACACGCGCACACGCACACAGGGATGTTCCCAGCTCTGCAAGCGATGATGAGGATCCACAGTTACCGACTCTCCTTCTGCACGACTGCTCGGAGGACGGATGCAGTGGGAGCACAGCTACTCACTAGGAAGATGAGGCTGAAACATTGATGGGGCTGCAGGAAGAGGAAGGCTGCTGGCTGCTGTGTTCAGAGACTAACACACTGGCTCTTTGACGGTGGATGAAGCCCGCTCTATTTATGACCACATTACCCAACAGCAGCTGCTCAGCCATGACAATCCAATTGGTGTTTTGAGATGCGAGTGGAGGAGCACGGAGCGCCTCCTCTGGGACATGGACTTGTCGGGGCCACACACGCGCACACACGCACACGCGCACACACACACACACACACACACACACACACACACAGGGCCCTTTTGTTGTGGACTATGAACTATTCGGTGGCAGGAAATCCCGTGCATGTCCTGCTGGGATACCGAAGTGTTGAAAGAACAGGATTAGGATAGAATAGTCTGGGCCATTCAACCTCATATGATCACACAGCTAGTTTGATTCTATTTATATTATATGAATGAATGTGTATTCAAATGATTTGCTTAATTTAGTTTCCTGTGGTCTCATAATAGAACTTTTCATGTGAAGAAAACAGAAGAAGAGAGTTGAACCAAAGACAAGTTCCACTCCACTCCACAAATAATGATCAACAGATGAATCGATTAGTTGTTTGGTCGAACCAAAGTCCCCAAACAAGACCAAGATGTCTTCTTTGTCCAGAATTCAAAGGTATTGAGTTTACTGTCACAGAGGAGTAAAGACACCACAGCATATTGCTATTTAAGAAGCAGAGAACAGATTTTGGTTTTCCTTAAAGAAATTGATGAATGGATTATCTCAAAGGTTGGTGATTAATGCAACAGTTGACAGCTAATTGATTGATGGTTGCCGCTCTAACACTCCACAGCGGTGCTCAAAAGAAGGACTCAATGTATGCTTTCACTCAGAACTAAGAGAACCCAGGGACATCTGTTCAGTGGACTTTTATCCATTTAGCTACAAGCATTACAATAAAGACTGTCCATCATGTCAAAGTATAGATGGAGCTACAGAAACAATGGAGCTACAGTGATCATATTATGTTATGGTTGTCCAAATTTCATAAGTAACTAAATGAGTTATTAAGTGTTTGTTTTATTCAAGTGAAGTTTCGCTAATGTAATGAATAAAAGTTTACTTTAAATGTGATTTTGCTATTTTTTATTACATACATACAGACTAGACATATCAGAATAATGTCCTGCTAACATTGTGATATCAGTCATAGTCATATCTACCAGCCCTACAACGTTTACATCTTGTAGATAGAAGAAATATCTAATTGTTGTTTATTGTGACTGATGTTGCAAATGTAGTTTTTGGCGAAACAACTTGAAGATGTTTTCACAGAAACATAAATAGATATTATTTATCATAATTCAGGTGATAATTCATCTGAATTATGACCTGTTTAACTTCCTACAGCTAGCTCGAAGCGGTTTATAATACAGCTTTTACAGGTTTCTTAAACAATGAACATTTGAACTGTGTGTTTTTAAATCTATAGATGGTGGTGAATAAGTTAGTCTGGAGCCTTGCTGTCACTATAGAAAACAAACTGCAATCGGTGCATCTCCAATAGTTTTGACATGGTTGTTGTCATTTTCATGTAAAACATATAAAAATGATTCTGGTGCGATGTTTGCGTGGATGTGTACCGAATGAAGGCTGTAGAATATGATGTGTAGGTCAGGACATCTATTGGGAGCAAATGGCAGCTGACCATATTATAGTTAGATAGAGTTTGGATAACTCGCCCTATATGTAGTTATTACTTGAACCAGAGGGGAGCGACACAGCATTAGTTATGACAATAAAAAACACAAAGACCTTCAAACATTGCTTTCACTTGATGAATTATTGAACGCAGAGAATGAAATCACGTGAAGCCGTTATTTAAATCAACATGTTATTGTTTTTACTGGAGTTCTTACCGTTCGTCAGCGCGCTGTTTGATCTCCTCTCTCTTCCTGACAAACCTCTCCTCATCTCTGTCAGGCCTGAGACATAAAGACATGAACAGAGCACACCACTCATTACATACGTCTACCAATTGCCTCATTTGCTTGAGGGAGGTTCTTTCCACAAAGCTCAACAACATAAAAGTTACAGTGAATCAAATTCTCTGAAGCGTGGTTTGTATTCTGTTCATGCTTTTGTCTGCAGCTGGAGAAGCAAAGAGGAACTTGATGTTCAAAAGTAAAGCGAGAGCTTTTGCTACGGAAACAAATGTGCGTCACCTTTGATAACGGAACTGCCTCATTTAACTGAAGCTGAGCAATCAGGAGGGGAGAAAAACAAAGTGCCTCTCGGAAATGTAACTACAGGGTCCATTTAAACGGGCACTCTGTGTGTGTTCCTCTGTCAGATGATCGACGTGAACGAGACTCCTACACCCACAGGACTGTCAGTGTGTGATTGACTGACATGACAGTTTCATTTAATTTAAGCCACACACACACACACACACACACATGCACACACACACGCACACGCGCACACACACACGTCTTGTCAAGGCAGCTAAAATGATGAGGCTACAAGAGCAACAGTGGAGAGTGCATGTAGCCCAGATTCACGGGACGTTCACTGCACTGAACACTTTTTGGCCACAGAGCAATTACAGAGGACCAGCAGCTGCTGGGAAACGATATTATTTCATTTAAGATGACTGGTGTGCTACAATTTGAAACCCTTTCAATGAGCACTGTAGAGAGCATCCAGACTACAGAATGTGTCTGTAAAGCTATTTTTGTATGAAAACATGAAACCTTAGACATAAAAAGAATAAAGATGCACAAATGTGATGTTTCAGTCCTGATAGCTGGGCTCTGCACCAATACCGAGTAGCAACCTGACACCAGTGTTCATTAATAATAATGAACAGGCTGTATGCCCACTGTGTGGACCTGACACCAGTGTTCATTAATAATAATGAACAGGCTGTATGCCCACTGTGTGGACCTGACTGGGATCATTCTTTATGTGGAAAGAAACATCAGGCCTGACATTAACATTGCTTTTCCTAACTTTGTAAATGTAACAAATAAATACATAGATATAAATGCACTGAATTATTGATAATAAACTCTACAGAGGAAGGTAGAATCTCTCTAAAACTTGATCCACTCAAAAGAACATATGTCACAGCTGACTGTGATTCAACGTTACCTTGAGCTACGCTTCTTACAGCAGCAGCAGCAGCAGCAGCAGGCAGTAATGCTGATGAGGATGGTTCCACCCAGGACAGCCATGGCAATGATCAGGCCTTCAAAGTTCACTGAATCACACAAGGAGACATCACTCATATTCATATTCTTGACAACAATGGGATTTATTATGAATGAAACCGAGAACTGTGGGTTCCTCTTTCCTTTGAATGAGGATATAAACTCCACTTGTTTGGAAGCGGTGCCACCTGCTGACTTGAGGGCAACACTACAAGTCACCAGATGGTGATGATGAAACTAAACGCTCCACCTGCGTTTCCAGTGAAAACACAACCGAGACGTCCGACATGAGACTGTGAGTCAAAGCCAGGAAGCCAGCAGCAGCAGCTGGACCTGTTTATCAGCTTCAGAGATAAAACAGCTGAACTAGCAGCTAGGGCTGCACGATTATGGCCAAAATCATAATCGCGATTATTTTGATCAATATTGAGATCACGATTATTTATCACGATTATTCATTAATTTTAGGGACATCTTTTTATTGCACTTTCAAGGTTAAATGAACAAGAACACTGCTTCCACTTCCATTGTTGTGCTACATTCCAGCTAATGTACACGCCTCTGCATCAAAATACAACGTATACGGTACTGATCACCTGAAGCAAAATATAAATAAAATGTTTACCCAAAATAAAGGGCTAACTAAAAATAAATATGTCTGTTGCTCACAGTATTTATTGGACATGTCTTTGGCTAAATGAAATGCGATTGCATCCGTTATTTCAGCGTGTCTTTGGGAGGTGGATGGATACGCTGTCGCGCTGTGCAGGGTCGCCGTTATTGTTTTCTGGGTTAACGTTGGACATGGACGGAGATTCAGTGAGGTAACGTTAGCTTTGGCCTTAATGCATTCATCATACTGTGGTTTGTGGTGATTTTTCAGGTGGTTGAACAAGTTAGTTGTATTGCTATGCGGCGCAGACACAACTCTAACGCACTCTGTGCATATGATTTGTTCCTGGTTAACATCACTTGGCCTAAATCCAAAAAACTTCCAGACAACGGATGATGATCCTTTTCAAGGGGCTAGCTCCTCACCTTCTGCTCCTGACATTAGATTTACCTTTCACACGACACCCGTGACCGTCTGTTCTGTTCTGTTGTCTGTCTCTCTACTCTTCTACTCGACTGCAGACAGAACTTTCTTTGAGGGTGCCGCTGCAGGGTGCGCACATGACACCTCCCAACTCGTTCGCCTCCTGGTGGTCGGCTGACTGTTAGTTGAGGAAGAGCTTGATTTGATATGTAGCAGAGCACGCATTTTAAACGTCAATATCGCTGACGATCATGCTTATTTAATCGTGGCAGCCAAAATCGTGATCGCGATTAAAATTCGATTAATTGTGCAGCCCTACTAGCAGCAGAGGTTACCACAGGCTTCCTCATTCTGTAAGGCACTGTGGCTCCTTTGTGCTCAACATCAACATTTCGTACAACTACAGTACCTTAGAGCACATTCATATAGTCTGCTATCCACTCCTGTTGAAGTGATGAACGCATCATATTATTATTTAGAAAAAAAAAAAGCTTCATTACATGAATGCCTATAGGGATATGCATCTAAGCCCACGGCATTATTATCAACCAATTTGACAACTTTTGAGTTGTTTGTATATGTGGCCACAACTCTTCACCCTACTACAGTGTGACTGAAAACTCAGCTAGACTACTAAATGTCTTCATAGCCGGACCAGTCCTTCTCTTCAGTTCCACAGGAAGCACGGTATTAAACCAGTACACAGGTCATCTAGTTTAGCTCCTCTCCACTGGAGGCTCCGGGCATGTGCTCGTTCTCCAGCCAACGAGGTGTAGTAGTGAACATAGTGGTGAGTCTGCTCCAATCATTGAAATAAGGCAGACACAACCCCGGTGGGAATGATAGAGAACAGCAGTGATTGTGAAGCCCTGGTTACATCTTCGTCATTCCATTGAACTATGTTCTGAACCCCCAGTGCACTCCCTGATCCTGACTGGGGGGGGGGGGTCATGCCATATCAAAAATAAGTCATATTTAAAAAAAGAAAAATTCTCACTTCATATATGCATGAAATGTGGATTTCCCTGTTGAGTGTGAGGGTCATACATGATACCATGTGTTTCATCTCTCCAGCTCTGTAATGGGCTGTGTTCTGGGAGAACTTTGACAAACAAGTTCTCTCACTCTGACGAGCCACAGTGTAAGTTCAGAATGTCAATAGTACCAAAGCGATTGGTTGCCCCGTCGCTCAGAGGTCCCTGCGGCCGATCAACCCGGTCGCGGCTGTTTTCTGTCCTGGCCCCACAGTGGTGGAATGAACTCCCCACTGATGTCAGGACAGCAGAGTCGCTGCCCATCAGGCTGAAAACTCACCTCTTCAAGAAGTACTACCCTGAGCCTTCCACTTAGCACTTATTGTATTCGTACTAGTTTGTTGCACTTATTGTATTCGTACTAGTTTGTTTCTGTACGTTGGCTCTGGTTTATGCTCTCAGGTGCTTGTTTAAAAAAGGAGATGCACTTATGACTTCTGGTGACTAGTTCTCTTGAATACCTATGTTGAATACACTTATTGTAAGTCGCTTTGGATAAAAGCGTCTGCTAAATGTCTGTAATGTAATGTAAAGCTAGATCATTTTAGGACATCCACCTGTACACAGGCATGTGACAACAATGACTATTTTTAGTTGCATAGTTTTTATTTCTATGGAAACCTTTGTTATGCTGCATATATTCTATACAGGTTTGATACCTAAAGATGTATATTTTGACAAACGCCCCTCTGCGTTACCAGTGGGAGAATTGATCGCAGTATTGAAAATGTACAGATAAAAGAGAAGAGCAGACATAGTCACCACATTCCACATTTAAAGAAGACTGAAGCACTCACACCAACACACTCCCCAACGGGCCTGGGACAGCTGGCACACGGAGGCCGGAGGCAGCAACCAGCTCACTGGGTATTCTGTGCAGTTGTTGGTGGTGAAGCACCACAGACACTGTGAAGACAAAACACCAAGATCAACCCTCTGCACCCGCTTCTATTAATACCTCAAACTGTCTATTTGATATGCAAACCTAGAGCTGCGACGATTGGTCGATTTAATCAATCAACAGCAAATAAGTTAATCAATTAAAATGCCAAACATGCCCTGGTTCCTGCTTCTCATCCATGCTTCGTTGGTACTTTGTTTAACGTGATAGTAAAGTGAACATTTGGGACGATTGGTCGGACAAAAGAAGCAATTTGAAGATGGCAACTTGGGCTTCAGGACATGTTGACGAGCATTTCCAGAAATGTATTAAACAAGAGGGTAATCAGAAGATGAAGCCATAATGAAGATATGCTCTGTGTGTTCACAGCAACATCAACAGGCTTTTTCATGAAGATATGTCCTCAACATATGTAATTACCATGTAAAAGCTGTCACACCAAACTCCATCGAAATTTGGCAAATGTACCACTGGAATACATGGTGAACTAGCTGTATAACAACTAAAATAAGCAGTACTTGCATTAAATAAAAATTAAACTAAACAAAGTCACCCAGATTTGAGGGGCCCACTCTGGTGCATTGTGATGGTGGATTTGGTGGTAGTACATGGACCAGAACTAACTCGCTGTTGTACTGTGACTACAGAGGACGGGATGATGTTAAGTCATGTCTGGGAGGTGAAGTAGGCCGCTTCATGTGCAGACAAACAATGGAGCATAAACGTATGATTTATGACAGCAGTTTGATAAGCTCGGGCAAAGTCTAGTCCCGTCTTTCAAACTACTCCTACCTAACACCGTACCTTTGCATTTGGAGCACACTTGTCACAGCTCTTGTAAGCAGCGCAGGCTGAAGAGAGAAACAGAAACGTGAGGTTAGCTAACCCGAAAGCAATGTTAAATATAGAAAAGCCACGATAACAGTGACGTATTCACTAAACAAACACCATTTCACTGGTTTCTAACGTAGTAAACTAACGGTACTTATATACATGACGCTATACGGTGGAATGTCACCCTTGTCAACTTTGTCAACTTTAAAAACGACTCAACTACTTTTCAAACAACAATTCAACTTACGAGTTGGCGGTGGAGTTGTTTGGCTTTCCCCCTGGCTGACAAAGCTAACGCACAGCACGACGGCACCAAGAAACACCGAAGTGGTCAATGTTCTCAATCTCTCCTTTTTGAAAGGAGACATTGTGAAAACAAAAGAAGAACTTTGAAGCTTAACTGCGTCTATAAATACACAATGTCCGCCTGTCTAGAGTAGCCGCTTCCCTTTGATAAACGCAGTTGTTTCTGTTTAGCCTGGATTCTACTGCTGCTGTCACTTCCTGGTTATCTAAGGTTAGCGCGTTTGGGGATTCTTGACAGCCCGGGCGGGAGGAGTTTATGCATCTAACAAAAAATACAAACTGTTTCATATTAAAATGCAGCTAAAAGTTGAATTATATAACTTTTGCTTACTCATTTGGGTTCTAGATACAATTTAGTTTTTTAAGAATTTCTAATACCAAAACATGTTTTCTGATTTATTAATTTTATTAAATATTGTTTTGAACCATATTTTCATCGGAAGTGGCTGTGAGACCTTAATGTGGTTTTACAGAACGTTAGTAAACCCACGTTACATAAACATTAAATACAGATGTCAATGTTATGGGCTATTGTAAAATACCAGAAGCTTCATGGAAAACAAACAAAGAATAAAAAGAAAAGAAAGAAAAGAACAGCCAACATGTCCTCTTTTCCCTTTACTCTATGTTTAGTATATACATGCATTAATTGCATTTACTCGGTTATTTAGACAGTCACCGTTTTATCACAGTTTTAAATAATTAACTTTGTCATGGCACATTTTTGATGAATTTGACGTGGTATGGTGACATTGTTGGTTTTGAACCTTGTGGTCCATCAGAGAGGAAACTATGTTTGAGAGAAAACAAAATGTGACGCTTTCTGAGTGTGAGTCTGGTCTGTTTCCTTGCCACAGGCTGGCTTTTCTTTCTGATATGGCATCAGCAACCAAATCACTCCATGGGATTTTAATGCAGAGTAGACTGAAGTGAAAAGCTTTTAGGCCCCTTGTGTAATCAGTAGGTGGCAGTGTAATGCCACACACGCTCTGACTCTCTGCTCAGCAGGATCTACAGGAATCCTTGTGATGACTGCATCTGTCTGTCTGTTGATTGGCTGTTTGACAGAATCTGTGTTCTCTACCACTTAATGTAAATAATGCCTGCATGTGTAATGGGTACTGTAGTGTATTTCACTTTACACATTGTAAAGTGTGCAGTCACACATTTCATGCACTGGTGGTGGTGAAATATGGACCTGATTCAAAAACCCTGAGAGTCTGAGACTGAACATGCTTTAACACAGAGCGTGTTCTGTTTGTCTTTGTCTTCCATCCTCATTACCGCTTGTCTACAAAAGGAATGTCATTTGGAGGACACATGGAGAGGAAGAGAAGACATTAAAGGAGAAGAGACAGAAGTGTGACAGTTGCTTGTTTATCTATCAACATAAAAGTATGCGTCGAGGCATCCAAGATCAGTTCAATATTCAGTCACACCAAACTATAATGCAACAAACCCATTTGTATCTCATTTGTCGTTCAGTGTGGACCACATCCAAATGATAGAGTTCTACAACGGTCTGAGAGACAGTAGTGAGTAAAATAGAGTACTTAAAGGAAATGAAATGTCCTAACATTGTCCAGTTAACATAAACTGGCATGCCAATAGCAACTGTGGAAATCTCAGCGGTTAAATGAAAAGTTAACAAACAGGCAATTGCCTTTGCCAGACAGTTTTAGTGTTGGATTTTATTGGTACTCTGAGGCTGTAAGTTGCCCCTACGCTGTACCCGTCAGGGATTTAGGCTCATTTGTAAATGGCTCACTTCCAGTTAGACTCCCCAAAACACCTATCACACCTTCAGCTCTAAAAGCCCCAGGCCCAAAATGTGTTTACAGAATCAATTTGATTGAAAAATGAGGAGGCAAGTAGATTCTTTTATGCCACACTTAGTCTACCACATTGGCCCAGACTGAAATATCAGCCTCATAATAATCAGGTTGACTTGTTTGTTTGTTTTGGGTGAATTGTCCTGGCAGCTGCAAGATGGATTGCCATAAAACACCCCAGAAACAAACGTTATAATAATATAATAATATCAACAATAATAACAGTAATAATTAATAAAATGATCATTGTCATACAACTTAATTTGATGGAAAATTGAACACAATAGAATAACATGGAAATAAAAATTAGATAAAACACACAGATAGTCCACATCTCCAAGGACCTCTCTTGGACCTTCAACACTTCAACCCTGATCAATACACCCTTCTTCCTGAGGAGACTGGAGAAAGTCCATCCGTCTCCTCTGAGTCTGGTGAACTTCCACCGCTGCACATTGAGAGCATCCTTGGCAACTGCATCTCACTAGTCTTTGTCAACTGCCCTGTTCCCGGACCAGAAGTCACTGCAGTGGGTGGTGAAAATTGCCCAACGCATCAACAGTTTTGGCTTTTTTTCATTTTGTAACATTTTATGCAGGAGTATACTGTTTACTTTCACCTCTCAGTCAGCTGAAGTTATTTTGAAAGAAACCTCTCATGCACTTGCTATAACATTGACACATTTTCACTTCCAACAGAGAAAGAGAAACATTGACATTAATTCGAAGTTTTGCTTATGATGTATGTATGTATGTATGATGAATGTAAGTCCAACATTTAGTACCCTTTAGTTAATTATGTTATTAATAATGCTACGTATGGTAGTTACAATGGGTCCTAGTGCACATGAGGGATCTGCGATGACGTGTTTTTGTCACCCAGAAGTTAGCATCACACTGGTTCCCTCCACAAAAAGCCAATGAGATTTTTCTGTTGGATTTTGGATTTTTGCAGAAAATAATCTCTGTGGCAAACAAATGTTTATGCTATACTTACAAGTTTTGTTCAGCAAGATCATCTTCACAAATGAACACCACTTGTATGAGTTTTGAAGCGTCAATACAATCAGCAGAAGTATAAAGCTAACGTTAGCTATAAACAAACTACACCACGGTCACATCACTTCACGTCACCACGTTCGCTCATAGAACAAAATGTTGAAATCTCTTAAGCTTGTGTTAACCGCAGACCTTATTTCAGGCATCTAACCAGAAACCCATTTGAAAAACCTATTGACTTCAAAACGAGAGAACTGGACTCCAGGGCTCGGTTTTAGGACTCCTTCCTGCAGCTGTATTGTGACGGGCTCTGCTCTCTCTAGGGCCATGGGCTCCACTGCAACCAGACTGCCTGCAATGTCTTCATTTACGCCCGTGCAAATATAACAGAATATCAATTGACAGCCTTTTCGGTCCATCAGTTGCTTAAATTGAAGGATATTGTTACACGATGAATGATGTTTATTTCATTTTGGCATCTTCATCATAATGTGAATCTTTTTTGTTAAAGCCCAACAACATGTTGTGGAAAGAACTCTGTCATCTACTGCCTTGTGTCTGGCACACATGATTGGTTATCAGCTTTGAAAGCATCTAATTCGACATCTGCCTCCAAAAAGCAATATCTGAAAATTTCCACTGCGCCCTCTAATCGCTACCTCTCCATCTTGATCGTTGACTGAGGCTGCTCACTTGACCGCGCGCCTCTATTTGATTTTCAAATGTGCAGCATCAGTCAGCTTTGCTGTATTGGGTGAGAAAAGTTCAACTTCCGCAGAGTTGACGTGACAGCTTTTCCAACAGCTGAGTCATGTTTTAATGGTCCTAATCGCTCGTTATTGTCGTCTCCTCAGGCCCTTTTTTCTTTCTCTGCCGCTCATTTGAGAGGCTGATCACTGGGAGATAATAAGGGCTGATGGTCTGAATGACGGAGCGAGTGTGGGAACGTACAACACAGAGCAGTCTGCCCATACATGTATGTTAGCCAGTTTAAACTTAGGTCCGAACCTGGAGGTCAGTTATTTATTCGTTCAGGGAGAAATGCTGAGGCAAAGGTATGCCAGACATAGGTCCATATATGGAGATGGTCAGAACACAGGCATGTAGGACATAATGGTCCCTATTTAGATCAGAGCTGACTCCACTGGTTTAATCACCTACACCTGTTCAACGAAGTGTGTCCAGTTACACAGAACTCATCTGTGAATAGTGTGTGCGTGTAATTTTACAACAAAGAGGACATATATACTAATAAATTGCTATAGTATTACATACAATGTTATCAATCCTATCATGAGATATAAAATATCTCCACACCGTACACTACAGTATGTGAACCATGCAATGGCCTCACGCAAAGCTAGTTAGACCTCTAAGCTGTGTCCAAAATCACTTCCTCGTTCAACTCATGGCTGAGCAGTACATTGAGATTTTGGACACTTACTGTCACACGACTGTAATTCTCACATCTATAAAATGCAACACATTGCATTGTGGGATTGTTAGCAGACAGTAGAGCACATGTCATGGACATTGGCTTCATTGTTTTCAAAAGTCCAATATATTGCATAACATGTACATGCAGAGCACTCAAGTAAAATGGTGGAGTGAATATGTAAAAAGTCAGGTTGAAGTTGAATTGAGTTATGCAGGGAATTACGTGATGTCGCCAAAGTCTATTCAGGTATAAATAGTCTGCTTTCTCCGCAGGGGTTAAACAATAGTCACCAAAGTCAAATCAAATAAAACTTACATGAATCCAAATAATATATATAATCAAAGGCGGGGTTGGCAATCTTCTTTGATTTCAAATTTTCATTCACCCATTCACTCACTGATGGCTACCATGCAAGGTGCCACCTGCCCATCAGGACTATCTAACATTCATACAACATCCACACACTGTAGGCACAGCTATGGAATTTAAGTGTTTTGCCCAAGGACACATCGACATGGACTAGCAGAGTCGGGAATCGAACTGCCGATCATCTGATTGAAGGAGGACCCTGCTCTACCACTAAGCCGCAGTCACAATAATTACATTAAATTTTTGTAGCAAGTGCTGCTAGCTACTTTCATTGGAAAAGAGTTGGCAACAGCAGGCTGGATCTTTAGGTTAGATCATTTTTTTAATCTAACATACTCTTGCTTGCTTCTAAACATCACCAACCCTGCCTTAAATATCTGATTCACCGCAGTGTGATGCAAATTATGTTTGCTGATTTAATGTGTCAACAACTTTTACTCCTTTTCTTTAGATATTATTGGCATGGTAATGGTGAACGGCAGGATATCTGCATTATGAATCTCAGAAACGCTCACCAGCTAATGAACAAGTAGTCTTGTTGTAGTAGTTTGATTTACAGTTTGTGCAGTTACAAG